TTCAGGTATATCTCCAGCTCCCAAATCCCCAGCCTCAGACAACTGGCAGGGTTATCATTTCTCCTCCTTGAGACTGGGCAAGGAGGTATATATATATATATATATATATATATACACACACACACACACATACCTATATATGTATATGTATATGTATATGTATATGTATATGTATATGTATGCATATATATATCACTACCTCTCAGTAGGCTCCTCTCTCAAGTTCAAAGCTGATCTCTGAAGATTTTTTTCCTTCTGATCCCAGATCATAAAAACTTCAACTAAGCTTCAACTACCCCTCCTACTCCACTCACTGGAACACCACCAAGTTGGCAAGCAGTTATTAAATCCCTACTAAGTATCCTGAAATGTCCTAGACAAGGGAGAGAGGGTAGAAAAGAAAAAACATACACAGGATTCCTGCATCCAAGAAGCTTACGTTGGATGGGGAGCAAAACCAATGGGCACTGGAAAGTAAGGAAGTGCTCCACTCTGTGGTTCTGACTCTGTCGTTAACCATGCAGTAGGGGGAGAGGCCAGGGTGCCTGGAATGGAAGGAGGAGCCCCTGAGCAGGAGGTGAGGGGTGAGGCTTGGCACAGAGGTTGCAACTGGAAGGGGCATACACATTTCTTTCATTTTCGAGAAAATATCTTGGGGCTCAAAGAGGTTGCAGATCCCCTTCCTTTCAGTCGCAGAGTACTTTGGAGGTAGAGCTAGAGCCCAGCTCCCTGAAGCCCATACTGTGCTATTCCCTGTGGGAGAGTATCACACCCAGGAAGTTGGGGGCACAGGAAAACCCGTCAAGGAAGAGGCAGTACTCAACATGATCAAAGTCTGAGAAAAGGCATGAGAAGTGGGGAGAAGAAGGAAGGCAGTGCCAACGGAGTATGGTTAGAGGTTCTCTCAGAGGACACAGACACCCAGAGAGAGGTATGGGGTGCAGAGCAGGGTCCACGGTCGAGAGACTAGCCTGCATCAAGGACCCCCTGACTCTCACAGCCAAGCTGCACTAAAACAACTAGGCTCAGCAGGGGTCAACGGATGAAGCCCCTGGAGCTCCAGACAAGGCAACTGCTACTAGGAGGCGTGCATGTCAGAGGGGCCAGTCTCACCACCGGTCAGGAGAGCAAGCACACCTCTCTCCCAGAAGCCTTCAGTGGAGTCACCAGTTAACCAGGCAGAGGTTTTACTTCCTCCAGAGCCCACCATTCTGAGCTCATGGAACCAGTCTCAGCAGGGATAAAAAGCACCGCCCCGCCACAAGCAATAACAAGGAACACCCAAGGGAAGGGGTCATGCCACCCAGCACTAGCTTTCCGCTCAGGCCAGAACACCGCCATACACAGAGGTTCCTTCCTACCTTTGCTAAAGGCAGCTTTTTTGGCTTTAGGGCACTTTTGTAAACAAAGCAAACTTGTCAGTCCTCCCACAAGTTCAGGTATATCTCCAGCTCCCAAATCCCCAGCCTCAGACAACTGGCAGGGTTATCATTTCTCCTCCTTAAGACTGGGCAAGGGGCTCCCAGGGGCTCCCCTCCTCAACCCTCTATACAGGAATCCTTAACAAACCAGGATGGAGAGGCTGCTGCAGGGTCCAAGCCACCTTTATGAGGAGCCTTTTCTACACAGGGACAAGGAAAGGAATGGGGACCTTTCCATAGAATTTTCTCCTCCAACTCTCCTTCCTCACTTGCATCCTCACAATGATGGCTACATGTCTTCTAGGGGCCAGGAACATTACAAATAATACAAGGACATCTTTTTTGTAAATGAACACGCTGGGGCTCAGAAAGGGTTAAAAGGCTCTGAAGACACCCCACAGCTGGCACAGCCGTGTCTCTCTGGCTCTTTTCACCACTTTAAAGGTGATGAGTTACTTCTCTTTGGCGTCAGGCCAAGGCCTGCCCACCCCACGATCTAGTCCCTGCGACCAGGTGGGCTCCTACCTGCTTGAGCAGGAACTGGTCCTGGGCGTTGGTGCGCAGGGCGATGGCCAGGTGGAGGGCAGACAGCAGCACCCCACTGAGTACCGCGGCCCGCATGCGCACAGGCAGCAACGTGTAGATGGTGTAGATGAAGAACACGGTCCACCAGATGCCCTCCGAGGCGCTGCGCGGCTGGGGCAGCAGCAGGCCCACCACCTGGACAGCCAGCACCACGGCGATGAGCGCGTAGCAGGCCAGGCCCATGTGGTCCTGGTGGAAGGCGGCGCGGTTACAGAGCACAGCCATGACAAGGATGACACCCACCGCGGCCGCCAGCACTGCCAGGTAGGGCAGCTGGAGCGGGGGCCGCGCCGCGTGGAAGGCCAACATGACGAGGCACACGAGCACCAGCACGGCCATAAGCATAGTGAGGCTGCTCTGGTTCAGACGGAAGAAGTAGCGCTGGTACAGCCGCTCCAGTTTGTCCGACGGGAACTTCTTGGAGCGGAATATCTGCAGCAGCGCCAGGCAGCAGGCGCCCAGCGACAGCACTGAGCCGGGCCCCGCGCCTGAGCCGGCCGAGCTGCTGCCATCCCCTGACCCTTCGTCGCCCTCGACGGCACCGGCACCGGCCTCCAGCTCGTCCGCCGCGCGGCCCTTGCTCCGCCGCTCCTCCAGGCCCACCTCCACCGAGCGAGGGCGCACCTCGGTCCCGCCCGCTGCGGCCGCAGCCGCGGCCGAGCCGCCACCGCCGCCCCCAGGGGGCGCCCGGGTGCTGCCCCC